CCCCCCCCCCCCCCCCGAAACGATACTCACCTAATGTGTCGCGTGAGTCGATCCTCGCGGGACGATCCGGGTGAGCAGCGCTTAATTAAGGAGAAACGAGACGAGAAACTAAAAAACCCGAGTTCCGAGTACGTCCGCGCGTTCGAAGATCTGTGCTCGCCGCGATCGGGACACGGCGAATTGTAATGAGCGAGCGGGCGAGCGCGCGCGCGCAATGAGATTTTATCTCGAACACAATAGAATTTTATAAAGTGGAATCTCGCTGCGCCGCGGGAAACTAAAAAAAAATAGGAGAAACGAAAGCTGGTTGAGGGGAGGCGAAGCCACGGATTTAAGAGAAAAAAGAAAGAAAGAAAAAAAAACGATGCGTTTCGTGTGCGAGAGGACAAAAACACTTTGTATGCACCCGCCCCCATTGTTCATGCCCATTTGTATTGCGTAGTTGGACCGATCGGTAATTACGTTCTCGGGTACGAGATACTATTATAAATATAAATATAAATATATATAAATATATATAAGTATATATATAAGCATGTTTATATATTTTTGCTTACGTACGAGCACACATATATTTCTGCTTATATATATAAATATATATGAGCAAAACAGAAATGAGAAAAACTACTGTAACTACACCTGCCTCTTGTGAATAAATGCCTATTTGTTTCTTTTCACGTGTCTCGTTATTCCCGGCCAGCCGAGGAAACGTGTACGACTACTAACGTGCACGAGCTATTAATATTAAGATAAGCAAGGGTAATTAGTTATATCACCCAACCCTGAAAATAAATAGACTGAAAATTAAGTAAGACCTAGAACGTGTGTTGGAAGTATGTGTGGAACCGGACAGAATCTCGCAAGACGTTCGCAAAAACGGGCTTTTATTAAATAAATATTGTCGTCGTATAATCGATCAGATCAAGAATCATACAATTGTCATACAGCCTCGACGGTCACTCTCACACATACACACACGCACTTCGAAGAAAGAAAGGTACTAATGTACAAACGATCCTATCGTGCGACTCACGCAACGCCATAATATGTGTTTTACACACCTATATACACGTGAAAAGTCGAAGACACACGTGTCGAATACACACGTGCCGCGTCGAAGGTGGCGCGTCGTTGCTTCTTAAGATCGATTCCCCGTGAAATAACACGAAGTACGCGAACTTCTTAAGGAGCATCGGTTGCGGTCACCGTTCGATTAGTATCGCTGCGCAAAAACATTCCAGTGATATTGCACTATCGTTGCGTTAAGAGGCCGGAGATCACGGCTGGACGTTCGACTTTCATTTCAAAAAAAAGAAAAAAAGAAAAAAAAACGCTCAATCATACCTTCCTTCACTTTTTCTTTCAATTCGCATCGCAGATAATTCGTCTTGGTCCTGACCTGGACCGGACGATGGACGGATAGCGATTATTCGTGGTCGATTAATTCGATATAGAAAGTCATCATCCGAGCTCAGTGTTTAAGCGAACGTTGATCCATACATGGATCTACGCGCGATACAAATACCAACCGTCACTCGAAACCGTGAGAGAACAAATCTCTCATCTCGCAGGAACGTTTCATAAATTACCTACGATTTGCTAATCGTCCTCGCGTTACGTCGATTTACGTCGTTGAGGAGATTTACAACAATTCCCTACTAAAATGATCACTAATGTCACAGAAGTGCAACAAATGCGCCCGCGTAACGCAACATATTCCTTCCCGATCCTGACATAAGACACAGCGTATCACAATGGTTTCGTGTTAACAGTAAACTCGAGCGCCTTGACTCTCCGTTATTTGATCAGAGATGGTTGCGAGCACGCCTCGAGATAAAAGATGTCCCGCTTAGAGATCGTTTTTACCGTGGAAAACGATTGGTTTCACGCTCGTGAGAATGAAACGCCACAGTCTCGCGCGAGAAGGAAAAAAGACCGTGCGCGCGACTCTTGCCGATCCTGATCGTTGCGCGAGACCGCTCGCGGGACTAATGGGAACATTAACCTTTTGCACTCTCTCCGTCACTTTCCGGGCGACAATTTACCGCGCAAAGTAAAACTCGCGATTGCTAGATTCTCTGTCCCGGATATTTGATCTTTCGGGTGTGAATAAAAGTAAAAAGCGACGAAAGCACAATTAGGAAATTGCGATCAATTTTTCCTGCGATTTAAAACCACAAATTATGTATATCAAAAACTTTCCTCTCGAGATAAAAATATTTTCAATCGAACTTCATCGATCGAGTCTTTCGATACTCTTGAAGTGTACACACTGACGATAATATCTTCTTCGATGGAGTAAAACTGTCGATTCTGCTGATTTCATTAACAGTTCGGTCGACATAACGCGGTTTTACGGTCGTCGGTGATTCTCGCGTGAGAAGCTTATGAATTTAAACAAACGATAATGACTATCGGTCAGATTGTGCTGATTAATCAACACAATAAAGATTTACGGGCTGAAAAACGCGGATCGAGACGAGGGCGGAAAGCGCGTTCGCGACGATTAAACGCACGTCGAGAACGCAAAAACCGTAACTTTCCCTACCGGAGGAATCGTAGAAAGTGGGACGTGCCCCATGTTTTTGCCGACGCAGATGCGGCCACTTAAATTCGAATTAGCAGTCCGTTTCGTCGCGAGCATCGATATCAGACTATCGTCACTAAGAATAATGCGTCTGTCACGGCTACATTTGTCGCTTCACATATCACCAAGTGCTACCGGAAATGCGACTCGCTGAGTTTCTCACTATTACGCACCGATATGCGTCCCGGTGTTCGGGACAGGTCCCGAAGTTGACACGAGTTCGAGTCTGGCTCAAATTATCGCTAATCGTAGTTCTTTTAAAAGGGCTTTTACGAAATCGCTGACTTAACATCAGTTCAAACCCCACATTTCCTCACACACCGCAACCGAACAGTGAAAGGGCAACAAATATCTAGAAGACCGTCCCTGTTTACGGTCGAACGTAGGCCGAGTAGTAACACCATGGCTGTGTCGGAACGTTCGTGAGAAAAGGAAACGCAAGTGCACGACCTTCCTTTCGTCTTCCCTCCGCGTCTCTCCGCGTCACTTGCGCTCTTTGTACGAGACAGCCGCGCAGGAGGAACCACAGGTACAAGTCTGTCGCCGCCAGTCGATCGCCGCTTCAATCGGGGCTCTCATCGTAACGCTGCTACCGCGCTACGTCACTTTCGTCAAAACAGGCCGAACATCTTCTTCGTCGAGCCGGTGCTCCTCTTCTTCCTGGCCGGCGCGGACACGTCCGAGTTCTCGCCGTTCTTCATGGAGACGTTGTGCGCGGCCGGAGTCAGTTTGCTGCGTACGTGCTCGTCCAGCAGCGCCTGCATGTCCATCTGCCACTGTTCCAGCTGCTGACTCAGCTCGACCTTCTGCTTGACGGCTTCCTTCAGCTGGCTGTCCGCCTGCAGGATGTCTATCCGCGTCCTGGCCAGCTCCACCTCCACCCGGTTCTGCCTCGCCACCGCCTGATCTCGCACCTTGTACGCCTTCGCCACGATCTCGTCCTTCGTCAGCTCGGAGTGCTCCATGTCACCCCTGGCACGGTCGCGCTCTTCCTTGACGCCGCGCAGCTCCGCCTCGGAGACGCTCAGCTTGCTCGTCACCTCGAGGAACGCGTCCGCACGTCGCTTCAGCTCCTCCTGCATCTGCTTCGACTGCTCCCTCGCGTGCTCGAGCTCCTCTCGCACCCTGTGCAGCTCCACCGCGAGTCCCAGCTCGCCGGGCGCCCCTCGGCCCGACAGCGCGAGGTTGTAGACCTCCTCGACCAGCTCCAGCAGCGCGCCCGAATAATTCGTCTGCAAATAAGGCGGTTAACGTGATAAATTAACGATCGTTATTCCCGGCTCTGAGACAAATATTAAATAAATAAACGTCTACCGTCATATATACATTTACTTATTTCACGCAAACCTTCTGCAATTTTCATGTTACATCCATTGTTAAAAGATTTCCGATTTAATGTAATTCGTTCGAAATTAATTGATAAAAATTTAGAAATTTAACCGATTTAATAAATGATAAATTTAATTTGCCCCAATTTGACACCTGAAATTCGCTGTTAGATTACACCTGAGGGCACTTACCGGTGAAGGGTGAGCCTCCCGCTCGTTGCTGCCGACTTCCGCCTCGGAACTGTTGACGATCACGAGCATGGACTCGTCGCAGTCGCTCTGCAGGCCGGAGTCGTCCTCGCCGCGTCTCAGATGAGCGCACAGCTCCCTCAGCCGCTTCGTCGCCCTCGCCACTTCCGTCCGCAGACCGTCCTCCTGTTCTCCCAGCGAACTTCCGCTCTCTTCGCACTCCATCTCGGCCTGCAGGGACCGCGGTGTCTTCTGTATCGAGCCGGACCTAGCCCTCCTTTCCGCCTCGATGGCCGCCAATGACGACGCCAGCTCGTCCCTGAAAGCAACACAGCGCGTCCGATCATGAAGCGGCGCGATGATACGTTTCGAAGACGCGGAATTACACGGTGAAGCAGATTGCGGACGGCACATCGCGACGGCACCACCATGTTTACGGGGCGAACTGCCGAAAAGCGCCCTCGGGGCCGGCGATTACTAATGCGCTCGTCGATCGTTGATTAACGTCTCGGATGATCAAGTAATGGGGATGAGTAAGTAACGACTCGATGCTGCGAGGAGAGACACGAAAACACACCTCCGCTTCTTCCGCTCGAGACCCGCCCGATCGAGGAGAAGCTACTATGTCGCGGGAGAAACTTGGAGGAAGTGGGAACTCCGTGGAATTCAGTGGAAGATTGAACGACCGGTCGGAAATGGCGTTCGATCGAGCGTTATCCGAGACGCGTGTCAACCCGAGACGCATAATGGTGCGTGCAGAACGCGCAGATTCCGCGGCCCCTCACCTCTCCTGCTCGGCCACTCTCGCCCGGTGTTCCGCTTCGTGGCTGAGCCGCTCCAAGGCCGCGGCTCTCTCCTCGGCTTCCTCGAGAGCCGCGATCGCCCTGGCCCTCTCCTCCCGGAGCTCCAAGGACCGCCTCTCTAATTCGGTCCTTTGTGCCGATACCAGTTGCACCTGAAACGACGCCCTCGTTATCCCGGGTGTACATAATACGCGCGGCGAGACAATACGATTTATTGAATCGTCATCTCGACAGTTTTCGCCCGATGTGAGTCCGGAGCCTCTCACCTCACCGAATTGATCGCATCGGAAGCGTGAAACGTGTGTGGAAATAGAAACGCAACGTGAAGACGCGTTGCGCGTTTTCCGATATTCTGCGATATTCGATTGTTCTTGCAAAGCGAGAAGAGAGAGAGGGAGAAGCGTTTATTATTATCCTAGGGCTAGTCCTTTAAGGACGAAAAATTAGAAATTACACGGATAAGAGAGTTGAACAATATAAAAATTGTACAATAAGTATTGAGAATGATGATTAAAGATAATTGAATATTGTAAATAAAAAGAATAGAAAGTTAATACCGATGATTACATGATGGTCGACTGATGAAATAGAATGTTTACATAATTTTGTGAGCAGAGTACATAAGAATATGAAGATTTTCTTATATAGATCTTCTTTAGATAAGATTCTTCTTAAGATCTTCTTTAGATAAGAATCTTCTTAAGATTCTCTTATACAGATTTTCTTTATGCTTTGAAGCGCTGGCATATTCACTGTTAGGGTGAGGAAGTTAAGAAATATTCATAGAGGTGGTTAGCGAAGGAGGAGGTGCTTTCATGAATGGAGAGGAGTATAATGAGTTCCAAAGGGAAGCAGCAGGAGAGAAAAGAGAGAAGGGGGAGAGGGTGTGGCGAGAACCAGTCGATCGAGGGTCACGTTCATTTTTTATTCGATTTATAGCACTTTCCCACCGATTACACGCGTAAGTTCCCTCGCGAACGCGAGCAGCGATTACCCGCTTCCTCCACGCAAGAAGACCGCCGTGAATTATTCAGCCCTACCTGAGAACCACGTCCGGGATTTCCGAAAGGATATAATGATTAATCACGACGGCTTCCGCTGCTCACGAACCAATTACGCGGAAGGGAGATTTCAGTGGAGGAATTAATAAGACTGATGGACGATCGCGCGCCAGAGACGAAAGTTCAAGTTCTCACCTCGTCCCGCAGGATCTCCAGGCTGCTCACGTGATCCTGCAGGGTGGTGTTTCTCAAGGCGCATTTTTCCCTGAGCACTTTCACCTCGATGAGCAACTGCTCCTCTTGCTTGGCAGCCTCTCTCAGCTGATCGGCCAGCCTCGTGTTCTGCGCCGTCAGCTCCGCGACCAAGGCGGCCTGGTCGCGTTCCGCTCTCCTCGCTCTCTCATTTTGCTCCTCCAACTGGCTCCTCAGCGTCTCCACGTCAGCCTGGAGCTCCAGGGCCCGCGCCTCGCTCTCGTCCCTGGCCTCCTCGAGCCTCCTTCGCAGCAGATGCCTTTCCTGCTCCAAGCTCTGTGTGCCGAGAAAAAGAACGTTCTTGCATATACTCCTTTCTCTCAGCTAGCAATCGCGATCGACTCGAAAAAACGCGAAGTTGGAGGAACGCCGAAATGCCTTTTTCTCGCTCCGGAAGGAGTATATCTGACGTTCGAAAGGACGGCAGAGAACACAAAGAAACTCGCCGGTTACACACCTTTCACGGGCCCGGCGTCTTGCATCGCACGGACCGACGTCATTCGGCGGACTCGGTGAAGAAAAGAAACCCGGTGTGAGTCAGTGCACATAAATTACGTTTCACGACGTTTCATGCGTACACGAAACCGAGAGATGGTGCAGATACAGAGAGTCGAGAACTCGGTGAAAGGGGAGCCTACAAATTTATTAACATACAATTAAACGCAACTTGGCCAACGCTTAGCCAACCACTTCGCTTTCCATCTGTTTAAAGATCATGTTTCAGACGCGTTGAAAACGTATCGGGAGGAGGCGTATCTCCCACTCGTCACGAGCCGTCGCAAATCGAAGTAATAAGATGGAGAAAAAGGAACTCGAGATCGCCCGTTGAATTTTCAGGAGAGAAACGTCGCGCTCGGGACGCGTCAATTTTCTTCTTGCGCAACAGCGAGGAGCAAGAAGGAACGGCAGGAGGGGGAGACGCCCTTTGTATTCGGGCATAGGGCGTAAGATCGCCCGAGGAGAATTTTCGCCGACAAAGGTGCGAACATGATGCTTCCGTGCATAACAAAGGGACACGAGAACTGGTTCCGTCGCGGGTACACACGGTGAGCGACGGCCACACACGCGAGCCGCTTTGTTCCCACACAGGGAGTTTCTCAACCCGATGGCCGATAGTGTGCTCTGCCGGCGGTAATAAGACGCAACAAAGTCGGAAAAAGCGGCCAGATTCTAAATGAAGCGTTAGCGCTAATTAATACTCCCATTTACTGAACCGGGCAATCCCCGTTTAATTAGGATCGCGATCCACTCGGAGCCACTCTTTTGCGCAATCGTATTCATAGTACGTAGCACGGTATAATAGTCGCACGCGGTAATACTGAGAAAGAATAAACACGCTTCTTAATTGGCTGTTTTACCGATATATCGGACGATCTGAAGATGTTCCCCTTCATTGTAAATGTACTTCTGGTCTGGATTTTAATTCCTCGCGACGAGGAGTCTCATCACATCTCATTACCGATGAACTGACTCGCCCGGAATATCATCAGTTGCGCAGGCGTCGTGTTCTTATTTATTTATGCGGCATACGTGTGTGTGCAAAAACAACACGTATTCGCGTATATACGAGAATACCCAGCGGCTTAGTAAGGTTTATCGAGCTGGACGGTACGGCCTTGGTATCCCATGGTTACTCATCGACCGATCGTCAACATGCCCGCAGGTCTACAGTTCACCGATCCCGAAAGTCCGTGAAAGGCCGACGGATCGCCCGGACAATGAATATTATTCAACATTGGAGAGAAAATACAAGATAATCATTTATCATACACACTTGCTAGTGCACATGACGTATTAAGAAATTAAATAATATTTACGTGCTCGCTTTGATTGTATTTCGACATGAAATATCAGGTCGTATAAAATCCGTGAATAAAACTGAATTAAATTAGAGCGGCCTTTTCTGACGTTGAACTTATAATTTCCAAAGATATCATATATGTGAAGGTTAAAAAATGTATTGAAATATATTTGAAGAACCTACGTGCGCAGTTATGGAAAGTGTCAATTATCATCAAACATTTGTCTAAAACTTTTTCTTAGATATTTCATGGTTTCGAAGATATTAGCTTACTATCAATTTCATCAAGTTTCCCCCGAGGGGTAGTTTCAACCCTTTCAACCGAGAAAACGTCTATGAAAGAAACACGCATCGATTGCAACTGTTCCGTAACATGTCTGAAGTTTATCAAAATTGGGAGCATTTACATATGTTTCCTCGGAGAAACAAACGCCAGGGATCGGGGAATGTGCTGCTAGACGTGTGAGTCACGGATCTCGACGTCCCGTTCTCCGAGATACAATAAGCAACGTTGCTCCGATTGCGGTGGTTGCGCGCCGATTCTTCGTCGCCACGTAACATAAATACTCCGCCAGCCAGAAATACCGGTGCTCGCGGAAATTCGCGCGTTGAAGTCTCCCGCAAGCGCGACGATGAGTCATTGTCGCGGGCAACTTTTGTCGGTCACCAATGGCCTTCAGACGTTTATTACTTCCTTCACTGTTCGGCCCCATGATTTATACAGACCACGTCCGAAACTCGACAAGTGCGAACAACCACTTGTTCTGTGTTCGTTGCTGAACATAAAAAACTTCATTAATGTTGTCCCTAGACGTATCTCATCATTCTTCCGAAACTTTAAAACTATAAATGGAGTTTTCTGTATATTCGGAATATCTCTTACATTCGAAACAAGCTTAAATATTTATCGAATCGCATACTATATTCTCTCTACTACCCCTAATATAGAACATCGATATAAAGTTTAGGGCGTTAGGACAGAAGTTAGCTCGAGAATTCCAGATTCGAACGGGACGCGAAGGGTTAAAGACAGGTAAGCGGGTTCCGCGATATGTGTCCTTGTCGGGCGCAAAACTCGTACCGTACGGCCGCTATTTACCAACGTTATCGAACGTACGTTATTTGTTGCTGACACGGTGCGCAATAAGTCACAGATCCGTGACCGTCGATGCGGTTCCCCGATCTGGTGACTGACTGCATTTGCAATTTGCCGCGAAATACAATAATAAACCGCGCGCGCGAGAGCGGCGTTTACCACGCGTCTAAATAACTGCATACGAGTTATGTCTCGGCACGGCGATGCCTCGCAAGTGGACGTTCCCGCTCTCATGACTCACGACTCCTGTCTAATTTTCCGATCCTCCGCTCGTCCCACTCTTGCGACACCGAAACACCGACGGCATCGCCAACGAGGATGACGACACGAGGCGAAATAAAAATTCAGTAAATTGCGACGGTCACTGCGAAGCGCTCATATACCACCGCGAGGTTCGCGCGACTGGTACGAATATATCGCTATCCTCAATTTAGTTTGTCCTATTACGACTTCGGGGCTTCGTGTCTTTCGTGCTCGCGCGCTATAAGTATTGTTATCAAGGCATATCAAGGCATCGAGCCAAAAGAGATATCAATGTCGACGATATTAAATATACCTCTTAATATTGTTGTACGAGTGTAAATAACACCGGTTACGCCAACTACACTGGTTATGCAGCGAAACTCGCCGCTGCGAATATTTTGGAAACTTTCGTTCCAGCCATACAACAGCCATAAAATTGCGCGATCAATAGTAAACGGATATTTCGCTTTCGTTGCAAAACGCGCCGATCCCCTGCCAGCGCCCGATCTAATTACACGGTAGGACGAGTGAGACCTCCCGTGGCGCAAATACTGGTCGACCGGCTTAACGGACATCCCTTCGTCGTTTTCTGCCAGGCTGTTGCTCCGTTCGGAAGAAAGGGAAGATCGAGAGGTGGTGCCTAAGAAACCGACGACCAGCGTAAATGCAGCGTAAAAGAGCATTAAACGTGTCGAGTGTCGGTGAAATATTTTTTGTCAACTTGATTGAAACGCGATCATTCTACACTTCTACACTCAATTATCTTCCATGAATGTGGTTCATCGTGATGACTGTACGTGTACACGGAAAAAAGAATTAGCTACCACAGCTAAAAACTAGGTCTGATAATTAAATTTCAGTTATATTATATGGATAGTTTTTAGCTGAAAGAGATCATTCTTTGTCTCCGTGGAAATTCGACGGTCAATCGAGTTTCCCAAAAAATCGACACCCAGGTGAAACAGAAAATGACATAAATTACGATGAAAGAATGATCGAAAAATGAGTTTTATCTAGTCATTTTGAGGTCATTGTCACTTTCTATTCTACCCGGGCGGTATTGCTTATTTATTTATACAACATGCACTCGGTCGTGAGAACGAAAATTTTTCATAAACGTTACAACCTCTCCATCACAATCGCGCAATGAATCGCGGATTAATTACCGGTACCGTTTATTGGACGCAGGCAATAGTCGGGCGGTTCGACGCGCGCAAGCATTGCGTCGCACCTCGTTCACTTTCCCTCGAAGAAAACGATAATGCCAAGCGTGCAATCGGACGGAGTAGAAGGAGGCGAAGCAGGGAGGTCTGTAATCGCGAAGCAATGGCCTGTGACGAGTCCGGCGATGATCGTGAGGTAGCGCAACCCGGTCCATCCGTTACGTGGTAAAATGAACGTTTCCAGCAAAAATCGATACTAACAGAACCACCGGGTAGGTTGTCCCACAGTTGTAAACAAACCATCACAATTGTGTAACTTTATGTCGAAAGAAGAAAAGCAAAAGTGGGTCAACCTCTAATTGGCCGCCATTGGCCGTTGACCGCGCAACTAGACATTTTCAATCTCTAATTAACCCACCTCGCCACCCATCTGCGGTCTTTCTTGTCCCTACGCACCTAAATATAACGATTTCTGTTTTTATTTCTTTTTTAAATATATTTCAATTTCAAGTAAATTCTTACAATTAAACATCACGCTGAATTCTGTTTAATTGAACTTAATTTCAAAGTCAACAGTCAGTCTCGAAGAGATCCCGCCGAGTCGAATTTCCCGGCTCTCCTTTTCCGACTGATCCGCAGCTGCACAAATCGTCAATTAGCGACGAGTACGCCGTTTAAGTGGTGAGCAGGTCGCGTAAAAGCCCATGGTTTGCGCATGGATGAATCCATACGTGAGTGAAGAAACCCGCGACGATTCCGTGGAGTCAAGCGTTGCGTAATTTCTCGCTGGGCGTTTATCGCGGCCGCGGAGGAACTCCCGATCTGACGAAGCTGACTAACCAGAATCAGGCCGGGCAACGCGCTAATCGATTCCATTATCGCGTGTGTGGGAGAAAACGCGGGCCGGCGGCTGTTCTTTGTAAACACGCAGAGGCTGCTATTACGGGCGCCATCGAATTTATTATTCATAGCT